AGTTTAGTTGAAGATTCATGGGTAAAGGCATATATTGTAAAACACCATGAACATTCTCCCATGACCCTCCAAAACACAAATCTATCCAAACATGATCAACATTAGATGATTTCATGGTTGTAAATTAATTTACTAAACAAACGAGCTGCGAAACTAAGACCTGTTGCCGGATGGGGAAGGATGTAGGAACGGATATAGGAACGGATGTCGCCAGAGAGAGTGAAAGATGGAGATGAAATGAGTTGCGATTTAGGGATTTAGGTTATGAGTTGTTGCTGCTGCGTAGATATATACCCAAAAAATTTGTGTTGCGAAACTAAAACCTGTTGCGAACTTTGAAAATCGCATTGCGATTCTGTATTATCTCGTTGCGAAAGTCAGAATCGCGTTGCGAAAGTCAGTATCGTGTTGCGAAAGTTAGTATCGCGTTGCGATTTTGTATTATCGCGTTGCGATAGTCAGTATCGCATTGCGATTTTACCAATTCGCGTTGCGATTTACTTATTCGCATTGCGAATTGGGAAAATCGCAACGACACTGTAGACCATCGAACGCGATTTCCAACTATCGCAACGCGAATTTGCGATAATGGAGATCGCGTTGCGAATTAGCGATCGCATTGCGATTTTGTTGGTCATTTTGGCAAATCCGGAAAAAGTTAGTTAAAATCGTATATTATAAAGCATTTTTGGTCACTGAGACGATTTTCTCAATATATAAAACCTAAAAAATGCAGAATGAGAATGTGAGATCTTTGTATGCATATTGTAGGCAGTCGTTGGGTTTCTTTCATGTTTTACCAATCAATATATGTTGGCCACATATGGTGGGGGTCAATGATCAACTCAAAGTGTTCTGTAGCTGTAGGACTCAATCTTCGTATATGCATGGATGTGAGTTATCAATATTTTAAATATTTTACATGTATTTTTTTATTGATAATTGATTTTTATCTTTTAAAATTTTATAAATATATCTTTCTAATATAAAATTTTAACTCCGTCCATACTTCTACATATTTAAAAAGAGAAAATAACCTAAGTGACCAAAAATACCTTATAATATACGATTTTAACCAACTTTTTTTTGATTTGCCAAAATGACCAACTAAATCGCAATGCGATCGATAATTCGCAACGCGATCTCCAGTATCGCAAATCAGTTTCCAGATTCGCAACGCGAACATCGACTATCGCAACGCGAACTTCGACTATCGCAATGCGATTTTCCAAATTCGCGTTGCGATTTATTCCAAGTTCGCGTTGCGATTTATTCCAAATTCTTTGCGATTTATTCCAAATTCGCGTTGCGATAGTCGAAGTTCGCATTGCGATTTATTCCAAATTCGTTGCGATTTATTCCAAATTCGCGTTACGATAGTCAAAGTTCGCGTTGCGATTTATTCCAAGTTCGTTGCGATAGTCGAAGTTCGCGTTGCGATTTATTCCAAGTTCGTTGCAATAGTCGAAGTTCGCGTTGCGATTTATTCCAAGTTCGTTGCGATAGTCGAAGTTCGCGTTGCGATTTATTCCAAGTTCGTTGCGATAGTCGAAGTTCGCGTTGCGATTTATTCCAAGTTCGTTGCGATAGTCGAAGTTCGCGTTGCGATTTATTCCAAGTTCGTTGCAATAGTCGAAGTTCGCGTTGCGATTTACTCATTGCGGTAGTCCAAAATCGCAACGACTGGTGGTATTGCATTTGTTTCTTAAGAATTTTTTCCTAAAAAGATAGTATTCGCGCGGACGTGTCGAAGACACGTATTACCACGACAACGACCACGACCCGAGACGGCGGCGGCGGCGGCACGCGAGAGTCCCCCTTGTTCTCTATCACTCAACAAGGAAGTGGGAAAGCCAAGCCTTAAATACCATTCCCAATAGTGTTTCTAATACTATGTGGGATTGAGCATTACCAACACTTGTTCCCAATACTATGTGGGATTGAGCCTTAAATAATGATATTATTTTTGAATGTTTTGCTTAAAATTGTAATAATCGCGATTGATTGTAGATTGACTTTTAATTATGACATATTTAATCGTATAATACTAATGCAATTGGTTGTTGATTCAGTTGTTTTAAGGTGCATGATTGTTAATTGTTTCCTGAATAATCACATAGTATTGGAAACAAGTGTTGGTAATGCTCAATCCTACATAGTATTGGAAACACTATTGGGAATAGTATTTAAGGTTTGGCTTTCACACTTCCTTGTTGAGTGATAGAGAACAAGGGGGACTCTCGCGCGCCGCCGCCGCCGCCTCGTCCCGTCTCGTGGTCATACGTGTCTTTGACACGTCCGCGCAAATACTATCTTTTTAGAGAAAATTCTTAAGAAACAAATGCAATACCACCAGTCGTTGCGATTTTGGACTATCGCAACGAATTTGGAATAAATCGCAATGCGAACTTCGACTATCGCAACGAATTTGTAATAAATCGCAACACGAACTTGGACTATCGCAACAAATTTGGAATAAAAGTAACGCGAACTTGGACTATCGCAATGCGAATATGTAAATCGCAATGCGATAGTCGAACTTCGCGTTGCGAATCTGGAAACTGATTTGCGATACCGGAGATCGTGTTGCGAATTATCGATCGCATTGCGATTTAGTTGGTCATTTTGGCAAATCCAAAAATAGTTGGTTAAAATCGTATATTATAAGACATTTTTGGTCACTGAAATTATTTTCTCCATTTAAAAAGACACCCAATACGGCTATGTTCTGTTTTCATCCTTTTACTAGTACTCCACGATATAAATGGATCATTAATGATCTTCGAAGAAAATGAAAAATCTCAGCCGACTATGGCACCCTATGGCCTCTTTTATTTGAAAAATAACAACCTAAGATCAATAATAGCATCAGTTCATACATTTATTGAAAAACAATTTCTTCTAATAATTAATTATTATATGAGGTAACATTTGTTTAAAATTTTATTTATTTTAAAATAATATGTATATACATTGTAAATATAATTGTTTGAATTTATGTCTTTAAAAAAATATTATTTTTATTACTGTTAAAATTACAATATTAAAAATCTTAATTTAAATATAAATTCCAATTTATGCTTTAAACATAAATATCAAATTTATTTTATATTAAGTCAATAAATTTAAATAGATTGATTATTTTTAATTAGATAGGAACTTGATTCAATTATAAAAAAAGACGCTGCTTTGGATAGTCAGCGGGTGGCATAAGTCATAGATGCGTCGCATCTTTGTTTGCCCCACATGTTTTTTCCCCAACTTTGACAATTCTTTATTAATTTATTTTTGTTTATATTTTGTTGTTGCATTGAATCATGCTTTTCGTTATTCTTGTTTTAAATTTTTATTTGAAGAAATAAGATGGTAAATATCGATGAGATAAATTATATTTTAAATCATTAAATTTATATTTTATTTATATTTTATTTAAAATATTGTTTTTTAGTTTAATCAAATTAAATTATCTAACATATTTTTACATATTTTCTTAGTTTTAATTTATATTTTAAATAGTTTTGTTAGAATTTATATAAAATTTAGTTTTTTATTTTAAATTTATTTAAAAATTTGATAAATTTTTAATAAAAAATATTTAAATTCTTAATTAAATATTATTTGATAATAATAAATAAAAAATTATTGAATAAATGTTTTTTAATTTTTTTCATTAGAATTATATAAGTAGTGAAAATGAGCTATTTTAATAATAACAAAAGTTAAAAGATATAATTAAATTAAATTAAATATCTATAAAAAATTAAATAAAATAAAATAAAATAAAAAATAATAAAAAATAATCTAGAATGTAAATTACTTGATTAATGACAAATTTACACTATTAATTTTATTTATTAATCCATGACGTTATCCTGTATAAAATGAAAAAAGTAGTAAAAAATTATAATCTTTCCAAAATATATAGTAACATGGCTTACTTGATAAAATTAAGGTTTTTAATTCACAATTCAAATATGAAGATTTAAATGCTGATATCAATTATATCATTTTTACTATATATAACTCTCAAATTTTAAAAAAAATGAGGATTTAAATTCATTATATAAAAGGATTTAAATTCATGAAGATTGTTCAAAGGCCACTCCACTACGCCTACAAAGCATATCAATTAATTCTGTGTTTCCTATATGTTTACAATTTGGGGTAGGTGCATTAAACTTTTTTAATACCTTATAATATACAAAATAATGGAACTATTAATTAATATACATAATAATGATGAAATAAAGTAAAGAAGAGGGGATTTGCCTCTTGCATTGGGGAATAGAGCACTAGGGAATCCCTCTCCTTTACAAAGGAATGCTAATGTTACAAAAATTATATGCAAAAGAAATCTCATTTTATATTCCTTCTTTCTTGAACTTCTCAAAGATTAATCTCCTTTTTGCTTTACCTCCTTTTCTTGTTATTGGATTTTGAATATTTGTACTTCATACATAATATTCTTTTAAATTATAATTTTTTAAGTTTTTACGAATAATTTTATTTGAATTATAATATTATGAATAAAATAAATTAATTTAAAAAAATTATGTTTATAATAAATGTTTGATGTATTAATCTGAATCAATTGATAAATAAATCAACCATCAATAATTAAACTATTTTTTATTAACAAAGATCCCTTTGTTTTGAAAGAATATTGATATAATTAGATGCGAACATAATATTTTATGTTAGGAGAGATAATTTATAAAATTTTAAGAGAGGTCGAACTTATAAAATTTTAGAGGACAAAAATAGATTTATAATAAAAATGAAAGAGAATGTATAAAATATATAAAAAAATAAAATTTTTAAGAATGACTTATCCCACTAATTCTACCCTCGATCTACCCTGGTTGTAATCTATTTAAATACTAATGCTTGGCAAGGGTTTTTCTCTCTCTTTCTCTCAATAAAATTATAAGACAAAACATGGGGAACGAGTAATGACCCCGTTTTTGTTGCTTTGCTTTTTGTAAGAGAATTTGTATGTTGTGTTGTTATTTTACCCAAAGAACACCTCATCCATTTTCTTTTCTTTTGTAGAATCGTATTGATGAGAAGCACAGTTGATGGGTTCCACAAGTAAGCTAATGGAGAAACCGAGCCAACAACAACAACAAGCCCTAAAGTGTCCTCGGTGTGACTCATCCAACACTAAGTTCTGCTACTACAACAACTACAGTTTGTCTCAGCCAAGACACTTTTGCAAGGCTTGTAAGCGTTATTGGACCAACGGAGGCACTCTAAGGAACGTTCCTGTCGGCGGCGGATGTCGCAAAAACAGGCATCACAAGAGGCCTGCTCCCTCCATTTTCGCCGGTGCTGCAAATCCTAACCCTCAAATATCTCGACCTCGAGTCGTTGTTTCTTCAGCCTCAATTAACCATATCAAAAACCCTTTGTTTTATGGGTTAGCTAGTAACCCTTCTGCTATGAATCTCCCATACCATGATTTCCAATCTCAAATGAATGTTCTTGGATTAGGGTTTCCTTTCGGGGCTGTATCAAATGAATGGTACCCTAATATCTTTGCATCCTCCACATCACAAACCAATGCGTCATTTTTAGCTTCTACTCCTCACCAACACAGGTTCATCAATGGTGGCGTAGCCTTGTCACCTTTTAGAGATCTTCACATGACCGAAAATTGGCTAACGATGAACGACGTCGAAGTTGAAGAAATCGGTTCATATGAACCCGTTGGTGGTTCCTGGCATGGTCAAGCAAACATTGGGTACTCGGTCACTTCTCTGATCTAGAAAAAAACCTAACTTATACATCCCTATATATAGATTTCTAATGAATTAAAGTTCACCAGTGTTGTTGAAACATACAAGGGAGAAGATGGGATCCGAGTGTTCATGTCGGCTGCAAGAATATTTCAGATATTGCGCCGAGACGAACCTCGGATCCTCTTCGCTTCCCTCCTTTTCTTCAATCACCATCAACCTATGAAGCTTTGTTGAAGAATAAAGAATACAGCTTAGGCTTAGTTCCTTTTGCTTATCTGTTAAGTAATTTGGCTTCTATGTTGTATGACCATATAAGTTGCATGAAATGTTCTTCCTTGTTTTTGGGTATACGTTTTTCCAATTTTCTGGTTTTGGTATAATGAATGATATTCAAACTGAAACGTGCCATTGTTTTACTGTAATTGGTATGCTTTAAACTGCGAAGAATGAGCCGCCGGCGCCGGTGGTGGTACTTGCGGGCTGGGTGTCTCAATTGTATCCCATTGCGTTAAGTGAATTTATTTACCGGATGTCGGGACGTTGTGTGGGGACCAAATTCATCCTTTTACAGCTCCTTAAATTTATTATAAATCCAAGATTTGGATGTTACATGATCCTCGAACTTACAATGGCTGCAAAGGACGTCGCTCTAGCCTATCTTCTACATTGCATTCTGTAGGCCGGATCCGGCTATTTGTTGGGTTAGACAGAGTGCTTGAACCGGAGCCTATGTAACCTTTACCGTATGCCAACTCCCAAGGGCTTGATTGGCAAGTTGAAGGATATATTTTCATGCTACCATAATTAATAACCAGATGCTCCATGCTCCCTCATTCATTCGAAGCCAGCAGATGAACAAAAAAAACTGCAACGAGGAAAAGCATGATTGAAATCTTCAATTAAACCACAAAAACAAGTGTACAGCCTTTACCAACTAGACGAGTGCTTACCAGGATAAAATTCTTAAGGCATCTTGACGCCAGACAGAATAGTGATTATCCTGTAGGCTAGCTCCGACAGACGATTCACAAGAGAAAATTCGCCCAAAAACCAGAGAAAAAAAGTCTCTAGGGTTTAATAAAATATTATAAAATCAATGACCCTCAAAAGCAGTCCACAAGCCGGACTGTTATAGCTAAAAAAATCGTCTTTATTCGAATTTTGCCAAAAATAGCAAAAATCGTATTTATTCGAATTTTGCCAAAAATAGCAAAATCCCGAAAATCACTCTAAATTGAAATTCGAAATAAAATAAGCAATCTCCCAAAAATCCGGTCTAAATCGGATTTAAATTGACTTCCTAATTAACAATCGAAATATTACCATAAAATAGTAAAAAATAACTAAATCTAGTGATTCGGAGGGGAAAACGGCAGAATTTGAGGTTGAAAAAAAGGCCACATGGAGCATAGCTCAATGTGGAGAGCGTGCGCGTCGAAAAGAGCTTTCCGGATTGGGGTCTTATGCGCGATTCTGACACCTGTAGCCAAAGTTATGGCCAAAAGACTGAAACATACTCAAAACGACCCCAATAAGGAACATGTCACAATCAATTCCCGCCTTTGCGCTGATCTACCAACTCATGGTATCTCAGCGCCATCAACGTGCAATCTGACAGCTCAGCATCATCTGTCTCAGATCCCCTGCATCACATCTCCTTGCGGAACACTTGATCTTTAGAGGCAAATCAGAATTCCAAAGCTGTTGCCAATGTCCATCAGACATGACAGAGAAATTATTCGCAAACACACCAACTGCAGGTTTAAATCCAGATTTCAGTGCCATCAATCCTCAAGTGCCATATCCTTTTGTCTGCTGGTTTATCAAAGCTAAAGAGGCATTTAGAGTACTCGGGATACTTCATGATTCATGAGGTGGCAGGTCAACTGTTGGCCCCAATCCGAAGCATCAAGCCGCAACAAAACTTTGACCCGTATCTCGTCTAATCCTGGAATAGGATCGGCGGCTATACAGAAATCATTCGGATTGTTTAGCTATGGTCAGAACAGAGAATTGTGATAAACTATCTACAAACATAAAATCGTGTATTCAAACTTTATTTTCAGATTCCTCTAGATCAACCGGATTATAAATAACTGACATTTTGATTAGTTGTATTGTCAAATTCAATTTTAAAAAATATAAAATAAAAAGAACGATCAAACGATCAAGAAAAAAATAAAAAATGTGATACAAAGATAAAATTATTCTTTTTAAAAATTAAAAAAGAAAAATCATAGATAGACAATTAATATCAAAACTGTTGCGGTAGGCTACTGACTAAATAAATAAAAAAGGAGAGTTTCTGAACTACAGAGAACAAAACAAACTCCAATAGAAAAGAGGGCAGCGATTGTTTATAGGAAAAACCCTCGAAAAAAGAGTGAGCCACGCTTAAAACTAGATAATAGTAAATAATTATTCATATTATATATATTGTTCACAGTATTGTATATTATATTATACTATATCATATTATAACTTATTCATTTCCATGGCTTTGCAAATAATTTCCTGTGTTACAATCACAACACACTTACACACCACTTGGCATAATTAAAGGAATACAATTACAAAGGATCTCACTCAATCACGCATTTTTAGGGTTGACGTGAGACTTCACAATTTTTATTACTAAAAGACGTTTTAAATATTAAATAATACCAATAATCAGTTGGTCTAATGAGATGAGATATTATATTCTTTAAGTAAGCTTAGGGTTCGAATTTTAGTGATTACGAATGAAATAAACTAGGTTAGAAGGGTTGTCCTTACATCTGCAGTACCTGATTCGAATTAGTCAATCATAGATGTTAAACCCAAAAAAATATTAATGAATAAAAAAATGCTACATCAGTCTTAATCAAAAAGGTTCTAAAATCCACCAACTACATTACCTTGTAGTGTGACAACTTTATCTATATTATTTTTCTCAAATTACGCATTGCAAGCCCCCACCAAATGACTCTTTTCGAAACAACATAGAAGAGGACAAGTACCCAAATTCTAGGAAAATGTGAGCATGACATAAGAAATTGGGACATGGATTAAATTAATTTAAAATTTATTTTGTAAATTTCATATAAATAACACATATTTATTCAGTTTAATAAAATGATTGAATTAAAAAGATCTAGTTTAATTTTACGGGAAAATTACACTTAATATCTCTTAATTATAAAAATTTAAATTTGTCGGGCACTATTTTATTTTGATCAATCAATAATTGAATTGTTTAATTATGCTTATCAAGCCATCTACACTTAAACATTTGATGAAAGAGTTGATGTGACAATTAATAAAATTTTTATAATTATATATGTGATCTTCATTACTTATATATTCTAATTTAATTTATTTTAATAAATTTAATTTTTAAACAAATTGTGACACATTTTACTATTTTAATTTAGTCTATCAAGTCACAAAATTGTGACACCTCTGACATTCTTGATACTCGAACCTATGACTTCAAGATATAATAAAAAAATCCTTAACCACTAAAGTCACTTGGTTCACACTCTCTAATATTTTAAATTGTAGTTAATACAATATTAAAAATAATTTTTTTAATATTTTAAACGAAATTTAATATTTTTTCCTTTTTTTATTTTTTATAATTTCATATATATGATGGAGTTTTTTTAACTCAATGAATAATTTTAAATTTTTATTAAAAATAACATGTACTTCTTATTCTATATTTTAGTTAATTTTTTATTAAATAATGTAGTTCAAAATGCGTAGTTTTAGTTAATTTTTTATTAGATTATGTAGTTCAAAATGTGTAGTTTTAGTTATACCATTAGCATGATTAAATTGAGTGTATATGAATGGAAAATAATTCTCAAAGAATCTTTTGACTACAAAAATTTAAGATTTGAATTGTGCTTACGAGTTTGAATTTGTTAAATTTGTTAAATGAATTTTTAATATAATTTTAAATTTTTAATATAATCTTTTATATATATATATATATAATCATTGAATTATAAATGTAAAAAAGAAAAATACACTAAATTTAATTTAAAATTTAAAATTTAAAATATAAAATCTTAAATTTATTTTTATTTTTAATCTTGTATTAACTTGTAAAATCTATATGAAATGTATTTTTTTTGAAAGTGATGTTTTGTATGATTTTATTGAATATGCATACAAAATAGGACAAACGATATGGGTATTATTAAAAAATCTCCTTAAACCTAAATAGAGGAAAAAAAGTACACCATATCGATCTCGGGACATAGGCAATATACAACACTTCGAGCACCATCCCACAATCCACAACATACTACCCTGCACCAATAAGGGGCACCCCCAGCTACCCTTATACCCAAGCATCCCATACAAAAGAACAGTAAACAGGCTCCAATTATCCAGTAAACATATAACAGAAAAAACAAAACAAATTAGAACCAAAGCTCAAAACAAGAACCCATACTACTACACACCAGAGAAAACCTTCTTCAACATGAAAGAACTTAAAGCAGCACTAAACTACATTATAGTGACCTCCATAATCCAAGTTGAACGATAAAAGACCTCACAAACCAGGAACCACTTTACAGAAGCATACCAAAGCATGACCACAAATTACAGTACCTGTTTTGCTTTACAATACTCGACTTCGAAAGTGCATGCAATGTTCAATTCCAACTTCTTTCTTGATACTTGATGGAGGTGGAGAATAATTGAGAACCAAAATAATAAAATAATCTACAATACCTCCACCACAAATACTCCACAGTTAATGTAACATCCCAAATTACGGGTTAGGGACTAAATTATAAAATTTCATATTTTGGTGATCAAAGTAGAATAGTTGAATAGTTCAATGAATTATTTGGGAATATTTTCATAAAGTTGTTAGTAATTATCCAAAAAGTTAAAGGGCAAAATGGTCAATTGACAAGAAAATATATATTTTTATCCTTTAATAGGAGATAAAAACGTGGGGAGATGAAAACATTTCATTTTCTTCCTTTCTTCTTCTCCAACCGTGGAAGCTAGGCAAAGGTAAGAGTTTCTTTGTTTCTTGATTATTTGTTGAATTAAAGGCTAGGTTTTGATCATTAGATGATAACTAAGCTTAAGGAAAGCTTAAGTTATCTTAAAATCAAAAGATAAAGGAGTTATGACAGATTAAAGAAAATGGGGTTTGAAGTGAAATTTTGAATAGGAAGGTTTAAATGACTTTGGAGGATGAATTTGACTTGTCATCTATGAGAATAAGAAGTTAGAGGTGTTAGAATTAAGTTTGGATAATATGGAAAAATTTGTTATGATTATTGATTTCTATATGGAGAATAGAATTTTGAGGTTTAAGATGAAATAAATGAATATAAATTAGTTTAAGTATGTATATTTGAGTTAAGAATATGAAAGGGAATGAAACATGAAGAATTTAAGTTGATATAGTGAATTTTCGTGCATGAACGGTGATTTTC